CCCTTACTTTGTAGGGGTAATTCTTGCTTCTGCCTCTACTCCCTTGCAGCTCAGATGTCTTCTGCTGTTTGCCCAGAACTCACGGTTGGTCTCTCAAAACTTCATATATAACCATAGCGCTGCATTTGTGCTTTCCTGGTTTCTTTGTTGATATATCGTGGGCTCTTTCTGTTGGAGTGGTTTCACTGTTAATGTTATTCGCAGAAATCTGTGACTCACAGTAACGGCACTGATCCCTTTCCTGGGCAGTGAATAGTATTGCTGTATTTTTATTTCTGATATGTGTTCAGAAATGCTTAGTATACAGTTAACAGGATTTTAGCAGAAGAATAGTGAAGTCTGCTTTGTGAAGATGGGCAGTCTTATTTCCAATTACATTATCATTATGATGTTCCAATTGTTGCAGTCAAACAGGCAGTGGTGTTTCAATGTCTGAATCGTGCCCTGAATCCAGCCTACAAGTGACTGTCTATACCATTCTTTACCTTTGTTAGGAAGGTGGGGATTTTGTTTGCTTTTTTTTTTTTTAAAGGAAGTACTCTGAAATTCCCGCCAACAGAATTATTCAGATAAATGTGTTAAGTTTAGGTTTTTCAGAATGAAGTCATGAAAGGATTCAATTACAATTAAATATTGTCTGCTGTTTAAAGAGAGAACAGTATTCTTTAGCAAACATAAGATGAATGCAGTCTGTCTGCTTCGTGCTGTGTCTGCAGCATCAGCACACACTATCAAAGACATAGGAAATTACAAGGACTTTAGCTGAAACTATCAGCCATTAGAATAGTGCTAACCTTGGTTGTGAGTATCTGACTTAATTCTCAGTTCTCTGCAAACCTTGTTACATCAAATCAAAAGAGTTCAGTGCCTCTTGCAAGTGGTCCAACATTTGCCATGCTTGACATCTCAGGTTTTGCCCTCCCCACCTGCCAGAAGGTGGTTGAAGCATTGCAGCAGTAGCAGCTGTTCGGTACCAACCAGGTTGCTCAGATGCCCAGGAGGAATTGCCTCATGTGTCCTTCTCCCCCAGTATTGAGGGGCTACAAAGATGACTAGGGGATAGGAGCATCTCTCATATGAGGAAAGGCTGAGGGACTTGGGTCTCTTTAGTCTAGAGAAAAGAAGATTGAGGGGGGATCTTATTAATGCTCACAAATACTTAATGGGAGGATGCCAGAGGGATGGGAACAGTCTTTTTTTCAGTGGTGCCCAGTGATAGGACGAGGGGTAATGGGGACAAACTTGAGCATAGGAAGTTCCATCTTAACATGAGGAGGAACTTCTTTACTTTGAGGGTGGCAGAGCACTGACACAGGCAGCCCAGAGAGGTTGTGGAGTCTCCCATTCTGGAGACATTCCAAACGTGCCTGGACACCGTCCTGTGCAACTGCTGTAGGTGCCCCTGCTCTGGTGGCGGGGTTGGACTAGATGATCTCCAGAGGTCCCTTCCAACCCTGACCATTCTGTGATTCTGTGATTTTGAGCTTCAGACAAACATTTGGTAGTCAAGAATCAACAAAACAAACACAAAAGGAAACAAATATTTGCTTGTGATGAGACTGTTAATTTTTCTTTGAGATGACTTTCTATTGACCATCTAAATGTGCTTTTTTAGAATTGCTAGGAGATACGGATAGATTAGTGAGAGAGAGCAAAGCAGTTTCCTTAGGAGCTCTGCAGGAAACTTCTGGATACTGCATTTTTTCCCATCTTCTTGTCTTTAGTGTCTTCTCAGCTTTTAAGTCCTCCTCTCTTCTCTCCCAATCTAATATTACACAGATTTAATGATTAATCGTAACTTCATCCCTTTTCATACGCAGAGTTGTATAACTATCCTAATTAAACATGCACATGGTAAAATTGCAAGCTAGAAAGAGCTGTCTGGGCTTGGATGATAGCAATTAAATTATTTATATTTACAGGCGTCAATATTTATGTTATGCCTACTGTCTGTCCTAGCTTGTCATCCATGGTTGAGTGTGTAGTGCATTGGGTTTAGTTAGCGTTCCTGCTTCTTTTCTCTGGACGCCGTGTTCTTGGCTGAGGAGAGTATTGCTGTTCATAAGATTATATAGCAGGACTGTATTCTAACTTTTACGAACACTGTTTGTCTTTCTGTGTTCACCTGAGGATTTTTTTCAGCTTAAGTTTCAAAAATGCAAGGTTTCAAGGTGCTTAAAATAAATGAGTCAGTGTCTCCTCCTGCCCCCAATTGTTCTCAGGCAGGGAGCTCTTGCTAAAATTATTTAGGGTGATGCCCCTGACAAAAATACGGATGAACCAAGTCCCAGTTTCCACTGAGTTTCAGTATGTTAAACAGGCACAATTTATTTTTCTTTTCTGCGGTTCTCCTTGGCTCTCGCAGGGTCAGTAGCAGCAGTAGCACTTTGGCTGTTCCCAGTTGAGTCATTTGGAATGCAAATCACTTTGCAGTGATGCCAGAGGTTCCCTTTGTGCTGGGCTTTATATAAAATGCCTGACAGATTGTCAGCTTTGTCACGTTCCCTGGGCAGCAGGGAATAGGTAGAGGCTTCAGCTTTTCATTCAGACAGAACTGGGCTGGTAGCAGAAGATCTTAGTCAGATTTGCTTTGCAGATAACTGTAAATCATGTCAGAATGCTACATTGAGTGCTTCTGACGGATATTTTGATACTAACATAATTGCTCAGTGCAAACAAATACCTGCTGGGGAAGCTTAGCAGAACATGTGCTCTGGGGAGTACAGTCCCCCCCGCACCCTTCCCCACCTTTCCTCACTACCCGAACTAGATGTGAAGAACAGAAGTGAAGCCTCGGGAGAATATCAAGCGATATAAATTACCTGCTCTTGATTGATCTTGCACCGTCTGAGCTGCAGGATTTTGGGGTTGCAGGAGCATGTGCTGCATCTACATACAGAATCTGGCAGGAAAGGTGGCTCTTGTCCTGTAATTAACTGCTATAAGTCTGGGCAGGGACTCTTTTCCCAGCTGGACAAATAGGAATCCGAGAAGATTTCCTCTGAAAATAAAGCAATCAGTGGATTTTTGCTCTGTTTCTGAGCTTTGCTGCCTATTAAATATCTAGGTTAGTCTGCATGAAACCGAACTCAGTACGTCTCGCACTGAAGTGTCACTGGAGAGCTGGACTAAAGTGGACCTTGTGTGAATCTGCGGTGTACTAGTGATTAAATAAGTTGTATCCATAAATTGTGTTGGGTTTTGGTTGCTATTCAAAGCTTTTGAGTTACTGTGGCACTTATTTCAAAAATACTCGTTCAGTAGGAAACAGCAAACTTTCTTTTCCTACTTAGACCCATGTTACTAGGGCTGGGCATGAAGGTCTTTACCATTGCAATTTTAAATAAAGTTGAAATTTCTCGGGGAAAACAATTTGGGGGCCATGGAATATTTTTTAAATTATTGTGCAAATCTTTGTTTCTGAGATTATCAGTTTTTGATTCTTCTGAGTAGTTCTCTCAGCACAATCCACAGCACTGATGTTGGGGAACTTGCTCTGAAAACTGAGAACAGTGACTGTAAAAGTTACTGTTTGGCTTGGTGAATGCAAAGAGCAATGAGATAACATTTAATAGTTGTGTAACGGTCTTAAACCCCCCATTTTGGAAAATTATGTAGCTGTAAGGCAGGGTCTGTCACCCTGACTTACCGTGCCCTGGGTTTCAAAGATGCTGCTCTTTTAGGTTTCTCAACGTCATTTTGTGGATACAATGACTTCTTAAAAATCAGATTTTGATTAAAAGACTGAACAAATTCCTCGTGTTAAAATAGGACCGCTTGTTTTCTCCTCACTGCCCCACTAGGTTTTCTGTAACTTAAATCCACTGTAAATCCAGAATCTCGGCGCTGAAGTTGCTTGCATTATACAGTTCCTCTTGGAGGGAATGTGAATTGGAGCGAGCAGATGGAGCAAGCAGATGAGCAGACTTCGCAAGCATTTTGAAAATAGGTCTTGAAAGGGGCTTAGTATAGGAAGTAGATAGATCTGCATGAATAAGAATGGCCCTCATACGGCTTTTTTCTTTCTGGCTTTGGTTTTCTTATAAACTTTGCTTTCTTTGAACTTAGATCAGAATTGCCCTGAGTTTAAGATCCTCTTTTTTTATGGGGTCTCTGCTTTTAAAACCTAGGTGCCCTCTCTGCTCTGCAGGTGATTTCATTTTTTTTTCAGGAAGTCTGTGGTTTGTTTCTCATATTATCCTTGTACCGGTAGTTTTCCCTTTGGGACAGGAGGTAGTCTAGAGGAAGGCCACTACGAAAAACAGATGGACTACACATTCAAAATGGAGCTGATGAAGTGATCTCTCTCTGCGATCTTATCAAGCGTGACTTTGTGTGGGTGATAAAATCGGCGCTCAAACTTCCACCAAGTTGGTTTTTTGGTTTAGTTTTTGGTGGTGTTTTTTATTATTCTACTTTGCAGCCAGACTTACTCGCTTTACTTTCACTTCTGTCTGAAGTGATGTAGGTCGAAGTTTGGCTTTGTTGCTTCTGTGCTGGAATTGTGACTAACAGGTCCGTGACAACCTTGGTGGCATGTGAAAGCCACATATCCAGGCAGGGGAACTTGCATAACTCCACTTGTACCAAGCACTGTGTATACAAGACCACCCTAGCAGTATCATCGAACTCATCTTCTAAATGTTTTTCTGTGAGTTGCCTATTTAGATATTCACAGCTTCAAATCTGGAACAAATGTCCTTCTGAAAGCTAGTTCAGGCTGCACACAGTAATTATAATGTGGGTAGTACTGTGTAACCACTGGCAGAGCTCTGTTACTGTGTGTGGAGCTGCAGAGAGTTTGCATGTTAATGCCCTGATTTGAAAATCGGGGTTTGAAGGACAAGCCGTGAGTTGAGTGCACAGGAGCATGTTCCATGTGCCATAGATGGTTTAGATTAAAATCTCTAAGTTGTCAAATGGCTTTGCATTTGGAAAATCTTGTGAGCGGTATGCCGTGTTAATTTTAAAAGTAAACTAAATATTTTTTCTTTTTATAGGGACTGGAGACATTGTTGCTGTCATGATTACAGAATCAAAGGTTAAGGAGATCCTGAATTACTTGGAAAAGAATATCTCTGTCCTGATGGCAATAGCAGTGGGGTCCCGTGTTCCTCCAAAAAACTTCAGTCGGGGCTCTCTAGTCTTTGTGTCAATATCATTCATTGTTTTGATGATAATTTCTTCAGCGTGGTTAATATTTTACTTCATCCAGAAGATCAGGTACACAAGTGCACGTGACCGGAATCAGGTAAGGGTACAACCTTTTTTTTTTTTGTTGTTCCTCTTAAGTTCTGGGGGTGATATTTCTGTATACAGTAGTCAACAGAGAATAAATAATTTCTAAGGAATGTCCATCAAACTAGTGTTCAGAACCTCTTTGCTCCAAGGCAGAGCATGTTGCTGGACAAAGATTTTTATATAGCAAAGTGTTTTCATCCTGAGCAGCACCAGTACAAGACCTTATTACATGACAGGAAGGAACAGAACTGAAGCAAAATATTTGGGTTTTGATGAGTATAAGTCCAAGAGGAAGATAGACTCTGTGTTGGCTGACTAATAGGCACTGTATGTATGTTGGGAATGGGAAGGAGAGTTAAATTGGGAATGAACTTGTGTAGTGTAGGGGAACACAGAGCTGATGTTACAAATTCTATCCATGTTCTTTAGGATAGCTTCAGTAATAGTTAAGGTACCTCAGAAGTTGTATAAAGGTATTTCCAAACTATAATCTGTCACAAATGTTAGAGTAAGAAAACTAAGGTATAGAGGTGCTTAGTGATCTGTGTTAACTTTCAACTTTATTCAAGATTACCCTTGGTATGGAATGTCTAATTCTCCCGGTTGTACATTTAAAAGTAAAATTTTGTCCAATATGCTTTTCTTACATTCATTTGCAACTCTTAATTTAAGAACGGAATTAAGTATGGCCATACTGTGAGATCTTGACCAAATCAAGTCATCAGCTGAAATATGGATTAAACTTTAGAAGTAAATGTTTATTGTTCATTAATGACTTAATGAACCACTGCCTCTATAGCGTGCCTTGGCTTTCATTGAGAAGGGTCAGTAAACCTCAGGAAAATCCGCTGTGCTCTCTTTGCCTTTGTATCTCTCTGTCAGGGCTACCTTAGAAAGCTGCTCATCTCTAGTCACTGTCCCCCCTTTCCCCCTGAATTACAGTTCATACACAGGACCTCACTGTGGGGCAGTGCTTTGGTGTTTTGTCAAACCTGAAACAAATGCAAACTTATAAAGCCTCAGTTGTGACAAAGGATTTCCTTTTTATTTTCTATAAATAGTGTCTGATGCTGCAGGTCCCATGGGCATCTTGTAGATTTTCCTAAGAATGTCATTCTTAAGTGACCACACTGTAACCGGTACTTAGTGTGGTCCCTTGGGATGGTGAAAGTTTAAATATAACTGTTACTGAATGAACGTCTGTGGAATACTAAATTGTGTCTACTGCATCCCCTACATGGTTCTAGGCTTCTTCCAAACGTCCGTGTTTCAAAACAGTTGCTCCTTGGGGAAAGGGCTCTTATGACCTTTTTTTCTTTCTTTAGATTTTTACAAAGGTCAGGAGAAACTTGATGAAAATTTTATATGGTTTAAAAAGCTGAGCTTATTAAACTTTAATAAGAAGGTGGCGACAGCTACAGCTTATTTTTAAAAAGCTTTGAGAGCTTTTGCAGAGAGAAGGCTGCACTGTTAGCAGTGAAATAACTTGGTTTAGGCTGTGATCTTGTTTTTAAGCTGTGTCGAGGCACGCTTTAAAAAAAAAAAAAAGGCGAAAACATCAAAACCATGCTGTGTTTTGTAGATAGTGCAAGTAGATACTGGTATTTCACATCATTACTCTTGCGCACTTCCGCCAGAGGTATGAAACTCTTTTGCATGTGGTGGTGGCCTTTTCCATCAAGGCAGTTCTGGTTTTTAAAAGCAAGCATATGCTGCGTGCCTATGCCCTAACCTAGCAAAATAGCAAATCCTGAGCATTTCCAACGTTCACATAAAAAAAAATATTTGTTAAAATTAGAAAATGGAAGGATGGATCTCTTAAATGGAAGAGATTAAAGTTATTGTCTAGGAAATTCATTTACATAAGAGAACATGTATACATGTTGGAAGAGTTTTGCTGAAATATCGTGCTTCCAATAGAAAATAATCTATCTTTATGATTTCTTGTAGTGCATATACAATCATATGCAGTACAACTAACTATAAATACTACCCATAATTACTTAGTTGGTAGTGTTGAGCATTTAAGTTAAATGCCTTTTCAGCCTTGTTCTTCTCTTAGTAATTACACTTCTGGTTATGCAATGATTATCTACTCCAGCAGTGTACCCGTGTGTTCTGTGTTGCAAAGTACTTGGGCCAATATCCTTGATCTAGGACCTGTAATTTGGATTTGCTTAAATTGACCAATTTCTTACATGTTGAAGTTAGGATGAGATTTCTGACTTCAGGAAGCATGTAATTTTCCCATCCCAGCTCTGTTTCTGATGCTGCGTTTCCTACATGGGTGTACTTCAGTAGTCAGGACTGAGTAACTGATTTTTTTTTTAATAATCCATGCTCTAAAAAAATATAAATAAGAGCTGTTCCGTGGAAACACAAAAAAAAAAAGTGCTTATGCAATTCTAGAATAACAGCAGTGCAGCTGTTTGTGGTGGACTTCTGAGGTCTTTGTGTTTCTCAAATAATGCAGCCTTCTTGGTTTCAGTTTGTGTGCAGAGAAAGTGCATGATACAAGGGGCTACACCTCTTGAGGGATTTGGTTTTCAACTGTATAGAAGGTGGGTGCAAAACCCACACCTTTCTTTCAAGCTATATGAGAGGTTTTGATAGGTGCAGTTTACGTTCTCAGCAACAGCCCATCTCTATCAAGGGCAGAGTACTCAGTACAAGATGGAGGTGAAGGATGGAACACATGGACTTCCCTTTTTCCAGTCAATGTAAACCAAATCTGATGGCTCAGGTTCCTGAAACAAGAAGATATGAGCTTTATTCCACGTGGTGCCCCATCTCTGGGATGCCATGGACCAGCTGGCAAACAGCCCTTCTTCCTCGCCTGGGACCCGGGCGTTGCAGTAGGACTGGCACTAGAACTGCAGATATGGCTCCTTCCACCCAACAGCGGGAGTCATGAAAGCAGCACAAACAACAAAAAATAGCTTGACCTCTGCATTGAGATTGGGGTTCATCTTCAACCCAGTATTCGTTTCAGCTTTATTTAAGTCTGTATTGGCTTATTTGGATTTCGTGACCCATATTTTTTTTACTTTGTGAGATCCTGGTGATCTCAAATAATAGCAAGAGAGAAAGTAGGTTACACTAAGAGCATCTCTTATGTCTCAGAATAAGATCAGCCTGCTGAGGGGGGATGGGGGTGGGGAGTAGCAATAATTCACGCCTAAGAAGAGAACAAGGGGTATATTATGGCACATTGAATAATAAGCAATATGAACAGAATATAACGGAAATCATCAGAAGGGCTTGTTGCTTCAGCTTTTATGCTGCAGGCTGGGTTTGATTAGTTTTGTCACACAAATGTTGGATCACTTTTTTTATGGACTTTATACGGTTCACGAGGCTTATGCCCATTCTTATCGAGTGCATTTGTGGGCTCAACTGTTGGATTATTTTTTTTCTCCTGATAAATCTCTAACTGTGGGCTTTGCTGTGTGCGCTTTTTGTCTTGTGTTGGCCTACTGCCATAGCGTGTAGTGCAATGTTAGTATTGACCCCAAATAAGTCATTATAAAGGACAGTAATGAAGCTTGATTATCAGGGTTAATTTGTGTTCTTTTCTTTGTCACTTTATTAGCGTCGTCTTGGAGATGCTGCCAAGAAAGCCATCGGTAAATTGACAACCAGGACAGTAAAGAAGGGTGATAAGGTATAATAATAAGATTTCAACATGGTAAAGTTGAGCATCATGTTTAATTTTTGCCAGGGGAAACAATCTCAGTTTTTCCTTTCTGTTGCTGATTTATGACCTTGCCTTCCTTGTTGGAGGCTCGCTTTGTCCTGTGGCACAGTATTTTGTGTAAATTTCAGTATCAATGTATGCTGTAAGTTTCAATTAAGTTGGGGTGGGTTTTTTTGCTTAAATACTACTTGCACTCCATCTGGCAACTGTGACTGAGAGTGGTTTTGTGTGCTGGCTGGGGGGTTTTGTGGTGGGAGTACATAGGGCTAACATTGTGTATGTGCGATTCGGTAAGCTTAGAATCATTCCATATGTAAGTTGTGTAAAGTAAAAATAAATGTAAAAGGTAATAAAGGACAATCTCTTATGAATATCCAGTAATCTGAGGGGGAGTATAAACAGGTATTCCGTTAAAGGTAGTAAATGTTACTCTAAGAATATTCCTTGCCAGTGTACAAACTAAAATATGTGGTGAGTTAAGTCCTGAACTTTTTCCACTTTTATGAGCAGTGCTGCTTTGTCTTTAATTCTGAAAGGAAAAAAATAGTCGCTTAATCTTCCTTAATTTTTGCTCTTTAATTTGCAAAAGGCAAGGGAATTCTGGCTATGATTTGATTTTTAAAAGAAGATTATTTCCTTGGGCCTTTTTAGTGTGACTCCTTCTTATCTCTCTGATCAACACTATCAGCACTGGAAGGCTGGGAAGTGATGGAAAAATTTGCTTCCAGAGAGAAGGCAGAAAAAACGGTCTTTCTGCTCTTTCTCCCTCCCTATGTAGTTTTATTTCAAGACAGCCTACTGCACTGAATCTTTTCTGTGAGTATAGGAATACATATAGATAATGGAAACTTTTCCTCATTAAAAGATACCATCATTTTGACAACATAAATTCAAAACTGGCAAGTGACATGTAGGTTGCAGTACAGTTTTGGGCCCCTCTCTACAGGAAAGACATTGAGGTGCTGGAGTGAGTCCAGAGAAGGGCAACGGAGCTGGTGGGGGGTCTGGAGGACAAGTCTTCTGAGGAACAACTGAGGGAACTGGGGTTGTTCAGCCTGGAGAAGAGGGGGCTGAGGGGAGACCTTATCGCTTCCTACAACTACCTGCAAGGAGGGTGTAGTGAGAGGGGGTTGGTCTCTTCTCCCAAATTACAAGCAACGGGAAAAGAGGAAATGGTCTCAAGTTGTGCCAGGGGAGGTTTAGGATGGATATTAGGAAAAATTTCTGCACTGGAAGGGTTGTCAAGCATTGGAACAGGCTGCCCAGGGAAGTGGTTGAATCACCATCCCTGGAGGTGTTTAAAAGATGTGTGGATGTGGCACTTAGGGACATGGTTTAGTGGTGGACCTGGCAGTGCTGGGTTAACGGTTGGACGCAATGATCTTAAAGGTCTTTTCCAACCTAAATGATTCTATGACAGCATGAGATGCACATGCTGGTGAACAGAGGGCAGGAGAAAACCTGTCCCTCATTGGAGCAGCCCATTGGGGTCCTCTGCGTGCAGCACGGACTGGTGCTGGCCAGGGAGGGGCTGGTCTCTTGCTGTGGTTCCTGTCTTGGTGTCCTGCTAGTAGCTTGCTGTCATCAAAAGAGTAATGAACTTAGACTAAGAGAAGGCAGGGTCTCTTGTTGTGTCACAGGCCCAAATGAAGTCAGCCCTTTTTCAGTGGAAATTTGAAATTCACATATTTTAAAATAAAAAAAATCATAACTTTTGGAAGGCAGAGAAGGGAGAGGAGCCAGTCAGTGATCCTCATCTTCACATCTGCATAAGAAAGACGACAGTTCTGCAAGTAAGCAGACAAAAACATGCGACTACTCTGAAATGAGTAAAAATTGCTAGTTCTGGCTATATAAAAGGGAATCCCAGAATTCTTTTCCTACCAAAAACCACAGCTGAATAAAACAGAAGTTTTAGCTCAAAGTTGAAGTAAATCAGGTAGGAAAAACACCACTATATTTTATAGTGATTCAACCAAATACTGGAATCATCTTAGGCTTTAGCTTATGTTTCAAATGGTCAGTTACAGCTCCAAATGAGGGGAGAGTTTGGATGTATGAGATGCTTTGCTTTCTCAAATCGTGTTGGAATATAATAACCCAGTTATTGGTTTTGTATCTTCTCAGTAACAGCCACTTGGCACAATGCAATTCATGTACTAGTCACAACTACTTTTACATTTGTCATAGCCTCAACTCTTGACTTGAATTTTCATTCTGTTCATTTTAGGAAACAGACCCAGACTTTGATCATTGTGCTGTCTGCATTGAGAGTTACAAGCAGAACGATGTTGTTCGCATTTTACCATGCAAGTAAGCTAGTAAAGTTGCTCTGTTTGGAAACTATTCTTTCTTTGTGCTCCTTTGCTTCATTTCGTGTAATATGTGCATTGCAATTTTTCAATAACACATTTGTGAGATGATTCCAGTCCTAATAACAGGCACTTTATTTTAGACTGTGATACCAGGTGTGAAGGTGGGTGCTGGCACTGTTATGATAGTAGAGATTAAACAAAAGATTCTGATCTTTAAGATGGGCCGTTTGGGCATATCAGCAGTGGAGCTATTAAGATTGTAAGGGGGAGGAGCAGATTTAAGGACTGAGCAGTGGGTGAACACAAACAACTCGAGTATAATGAACCAGGTACAGCTGCAGCATTCTGCACAGCAGATGTTCAACATTGGCTGCTGGTTTCTGAAACGGCGTAGGAAAGAGGAATGCAGTCTTTCCAACCTTCATACCTCCTCTGACATCAATCAGCCACTGTGCTATCATCTGTCTTCGGGCTCTCCAGTGCGGTGTCTTCTGGGCTTGTGCCTGAAGATTCATACCTGCTGTATATTCTGCATTGGTGCTTCTTATGTCACAACTTCCTCTTCCTTTTATGCCATTCTTTTGAAGTTTACAGGTTTTCAGTTTGTTTCCATTTCACTTCCATTCTTGAGCTGTTTGGGGATATTAGCTTTTTGAGAGACACTTTTAAGTGCTTTTCCATCGGGTGATTGGTTTTGATGAATCTGTAAATTTTGGTAGCTTTAAGCATTACCAAGGACATCTTTCCCTTGTATTCTGAAATGCAAAGCTTCCTCATTATCTCCAGACAAAAAGTACATGTAAGTTATGTTGCTAAGATCCAGTAGTTTGGCTTGTGCTTGGTGTATAAATAGTGTTCTGCATGATACTCCCGAAGCAAGTGTTGGTGTTGGAGTTGAGCTTCAGTCACGCAGCAGCAGCACAGCACATAAGAGCTCATTATTGGTCTTCTAAATCCTCCTGAAGACTGCTCTGAATAGCTGGAATATTTGTCTTCTAATGCATAATGAATTTCTATTATCATAAAAGGAAAACAGTACTATTTTATATCTTATCAAAATATGTGTGCATTCTACTTCTGAGGCCAGAAGTTTGATTCAGTTTACTTTTCTCTATGGTCTTTACCTCTTGGACTGTGGAGAACAATGAACTGTTCTAGATGCTATGTGTTGTTGTTTAGTTAATATACCCTACAAATATTTGTTTAGAAACTCACATTGAAGTATTTGGGAATAGAAGAGTTTGGTCTCAGATCTGTAATGATTTGGGAGCTTTTGGTCATGCAGATGTGTGTGCATTTCTTTTCTAGAATTTGGTCATTTTTACTGAAAAATTATGTCCTCTTGCCCATAAAAATGTACTCCCAAGTGTTAGGTAAAGATTCCAGAGATTTATGTCCTGTATTGTAATCTCTAGTAAAGCTTGCATATGGGAATTAAGCTCTAGTCTTTGATTTGTTATATAGAAGATTATTTGGAAATTAGAGGAGGAACTCCTAGAAACTGCTAAGCTGATTTTTTTATTTTTTTTAAATTGCCTTTTAAGAAAGCTTCACTTGTGTAGCTCAGGGTAATACTGTGAGGCTCACGGATGTGGAATGGAGGTTCACAAGTCCCACTCCTCTGTGCCTCTCTCTTTGATACTGAAGAGAGGTCAGAGGGGGGTCCTTGCCGACGAAGAGAGAATGAGTCTCCATCTGGTAGAAAAGCGTCTTCTCCTGCTGAGGAGAATGCAAAATTGGGACTAAAAGTCAACTTCCGTAGTTGGTAGATGATCATTGTTGGGGTGATTAAAAAAAAAAAAAAAATTCTCTGCAAGTCCACTTCCTTGAGACACGGTTTGTGAGCCACAGTCCTGCGGACAGGGAGCTCCCTGCTCTCGGGGATAGTTACAGCTGCCTCGGGGAGCTGGATGGAGGAGCACCCGGCTGCCATCTCGGCACAACCTCCCCCCCGCAATCTCCCATGTAAAGGCAATATCAACACTCTTGTGTAGGTCCTTTTCTATTCTTTTTTTCCTAAGAATACAAGGTCAGTGAAGGCTCCGATTACGTTCCAGCTGAAGGCTGTATGACAACTTTTATGTTCACTTTCAACTTCTCTTTTCTAAATCTCGCTTTTCATCTGCTGCAGTTCAGCTTTGAGTTGAGTGCAAAACTGTCTTAGCTAGACGGAAACAGTGAGATGAATACTTTTCCACAAGGCATTTTTATATTGTAGATGAAGGGTCAACCAGTCCCTGCAGAGGTGAGCTCAATAAATTTTAGATTGCATGTAAGACTTTTCAGTCTTCAGCATCTGGGATGCTTCTCCCCAAATCTTGTTCTGGAGGTTTTGTCCCTTTCTGCTTCCTGCTACTTCAACCTCTCATTTTATTGCAACACGCAGAGTTTAAAATTATAAAAAAAAAAAAACCACAAACAACACAACACACACAAAAAAGTGTCTCTAAGCCAGATGAGAAGATAAATTGCAAGAAAACCACGCCATGGGGAAAATGGCTTGACCAAGAGGAAGCAAATGAAAGGCTAGAAGTTTTTCTTACTGTGCCTTTTGAGGAACTATAATCGTTAGACAGTAGGAAACACTGGCAGATAACATCCTTGCTGCTTTCATCAATTTAAAAGTCACATTTCCCTTTGGTATCACAGTTGTTCTCTGCAGTTAAGTATGGTCTGTCACTCTGCCTCAGCAGAGAGGAGTCTGGTTTGGGCAGACACACAGCAGGCAAAACCTACCAGCAGCTGAGCAAGTTGCACCTAAAATTCTCTAATGAAACACCATATTTGTGATATCAAGTTTTGTGGCAGGTGCAAAATTGTGGCCAATTTAAAAGTAAACTAAAGTGAAAATTATTACAAAGAATGCAGTTGAATTTCTATCATTCATTTTGTGCTTCGGAGAGAAATATGTTCAGTACCAGCAGCCTATGGACGTACCTGTTGTAGCTTTTAGTGCACAGAGGGATAAGGCAGACGTCTGTTTTAGGCTTACAAACCTGAGGACTGTCTTCTGTGAATATCATTTTGTCAATTAAAAATCAGTAGTGTAAGCAAATGCCGGAAGGCGTCTAGCAAAAGACAAACCTCATGTCCAATTTTCTTTATTCAGGCAGTTTGACTTTGTCACACTGCTGCATCTAGGAGCTGAAGGGGCACTGTGTGAAAAGTGATCAGGAGGGGGTAGTGTGAAGGACTAATGAAAGATAAGGGAAGGGGAGAGCGAAGTGATGGGTTAGAGAAAAGCACAGGGTGACATTGGAAAGGGCAGAAAGATGGCCTGGGAAGGAAGGCGTTTATAAAGTAAGAATAGAATTCAAGTAGTGAATATGTTAAAAAAATTGGCATTTGAGTCATATTCTTAATATTTCATGTACTGGGCAAGAAGGGGGAAAGCAACAGAAGCAAGTAAGCCAGATTTCCATCAGTTTGATTCTGTGCTGCTGCAAATAGCTGAGGGCAGGGAAGTGTGGTGATCCCTTGGGAAATGGCACTGGTGAACTTGTTCAAACCTTTCTCCTCGTGCGCGGCGTGTGAGTTCGGAGGCATCGCACCACCAAAAGAGATCTCTAACTCACTTTTTTTTCTGTGAAATGCTGCAAAGAAGCTGTGTTGTACAACAGAGTTGGCGTTGCGGTGTTTATTACGAGCTGGAGGGCAACTGGCTTGAGTGTGCTGACAGAGTGGAAAAATACCTGCAGGTCACCTGTTTGGAGTTTTGCCCGCATGGGAGACTCCGCCAGTGCTGCCAGCCTGGCTGCTGGCCGTGCAGCCCCGGGGCTGGAGAAGCAGCAAAAGCTGTGTCGCGCTCAGCTCCCCCGTGCACGGCTCCTGGGGGAACATCGTCAGCCGTCGTGACCTAGAGCAACTTGCTGGGAACACTTTAGATTGATGGTCTTGGAAAATAAGTGACAGAACTATGAAGATGGAGAAGGTTTAGGATAGCGGAAAATGCAAGGGCTTGCTCTGTCAGACTGAATTTTTAAAGTAATTCATGTGTTTATTATCTTCAATGCTATATTACTGCTTTTTAACTGTTGCAAGCAGAGAAGTCCAGACAAAGCCTGAGCCATGATGATGGTATTGGCAAGCTTTTTAAGGAGTAGAGATACTGCTTAAGTAGTAGGCAGAGCCGTGCTGATCTAAATCAATAAATAACCTTTGGGTAATTGGACTTTTTTGAAGCACATTAATAAACATCCTTGAAGGTTTGAGAACTAAAAGCGAGGAATTAAGAGGTCACAAAAATAGTTGAGCTGTTTTGGTGCGTTTTGAACTATATCAAACTGCTAATGACTCTTTAAAATAACTCAATATTTAGCAGATGTATGTTGGCATCCGTATCAGTCTCCTGCTTCACTTGATCCGAGTGCTTCTACAGCACTGATTAGCTGATAACGGTATATAAACCTGTTTTCATACTTCTTTGGAGTCTTGATGTCTGCTGTTTCCCAAAATATTAGATTTTCAGGTTTGTCCTGCTCTAAAAAACAGACTTCAGAGACTTAAAAGGAAAACATAAACAACTAAAAGCCATGATTTGCCTAACGTAGAAAAATAGCATCTCTATATGTTTCAGAAGATTTCAAACCATTTCCCAGGATTTCTAAACACTGTTTCCTGTAGTTTTGCAAATAATAAATTAGTTTTGCAAATAATAAAGGGAATGCATTAAGACCTAATAACAATAGAAGTGAGTCTATTTTGAGGAATTATTTCAACAGTAAGCACTGCACATTGCCTGTTTTTCATGGTTGCTGTATTGCTAAAGGACACAGTCCAGCAAAGTGAGTAGCTGAGTTTCTCTAAGTTTCTATTCCTGCAATATCTGGGATATATATAGATAAGCAAAGTCCTTTTGCTCCCTGTCCATCTTCTGTTGACTATATTATACTCTGTAAGTCTGTGTATCTTCAGTTAGTACCGGTAGGATATATAGTTGTAGCTGACTGGAACCTAATTATGTTGATATACTTTAGTCCCTCCATCACTCTTAGCAGCCATAGACAAAGCATAATTAGGTACTGCCTTTTTCCATGTTTGTTAGCAAATTCACCAGGCCATTTTTTCCGGTCACTTTACAGACATTTAAAAGAGAATTATCTGGTAACGTGCCTCCTTTTGTCTCTGCTTTTAAAATCCCGGGGGATAGGGAGCAAAGAAGTCCCAGACCCTGCGAGGAGCTTACTGAGGCACAGAGCAGCAAGTATAACCTGAGAGAGAGGAGAGGATGGAGAGTATCTCAACTTTATACTGCCCTGGGGGCACGCGTGACCTCTGACAGACCATGCTGATGCCTCAAATAGATGGCAAGAGCTCCTTGTTCTGCCACTGCCCCTTCATCTGCTGGTTTCAGAGCACGGCTCTGCTGGCTGAGCAGCCCGTGTAATTGCTGATCTTTGCCGTGATCGCCAGTCTGTCGTGTTCTGGTGTGCCTCCTCTTACTGGCTTTTTGCTCTGCAGTCAGTGCCACTGGAAATGAAAGATCTGGGTTCTCGTCTTCGGCAGTTACTCAGATTCGGTTATTATGAGTATTTGCTAAAGCTGTGTTGGGTAGAAAGCCTAGTGATACCCATTTCTGCCATGGATATGCTCTGAAAAGTTCTTTGCCTTTTGTAAAGCCAAGAGGACATTTCCTTTCATTCCTGTAATTTAGATGTGTTGTTTTGGTCTCTGCATAGTCTTTCCTTGTTTTATTAGTTTATATCAATCCTAACACTGTTACATTTATATTCATGTATGTGACTAAGATTTTCGTATGCAGTGTAGGTGACAATTCAGACTGTTCTCTGTTGCAGAGTTCCCTGCTGTGCAAGTAGAAGCCCAGTTTGCCTTTTCATCTTTGAAAAATTCTTTTTTTTTTTTTGGACCATCATATTATGATAGACATTTCCTTCCTGATATCAAGAAATACTGATTGTAGGAAAAGCATTCTTTTTACTTAGATGTGATAATTATAAAAGTCTTTTCAAAATCAAATGTAAGTGTGTTTGGGTTGGTTGCACTGACTTTTGAATGAAGTGGACTGCTGGTGAATCTGTGCTCTTCCTACCCAATTTATGGCCTCTATCTAGAAATTAAAACAAGACTTTACACAAGGTTATGGTGGAAACCTTGTTACCCTAGTTATTCTCATATCCACAATAAAGGGGGGAATAATCTTCCTTTTAAGTGTTTCTTCCTAGTAAAACTGTTAGTAAAGGGTAGCAACAAGAAGCAAGAAGTTTTGATGTTTTTCTTATTGCAATCAGCACAGACCATTGGCAATTCTAGAATTTGTTCTGTTGGTTTAATTAAAAAAGAAACTGTCTAAAAGTTTGTTAGAGTAGTTCTCATTGTATAAAGTAGAACTGTTTGCAAATCATATATGTGCCTTGTCTGTTATTCTAGGCATGTTTTCCACAAAGCCTGTGTGGATCCGTGGCTTAGTGAGCACTGTACGTGTCCAATGTGTAAACTGAACATTTTGAAGGCACTAGGAATTGTGGTAAGTTGCACTGGTGAGAGCACTTCTTCTTCCCATGTCTCAGACCTGGGATGGGAGGAATAATTGTAGGGCAGAAGGGTGTTCCAGTACCCTTACTCAGAAAGTGTTTGGGGTTTTTTACCAATTTCTTTGATGCTGATAAAGCTGATTTGTTGTTGATCCTTTCCCTGGTTGGTCATTGAGAATATATCATTGCATTTCCATTTTATAACACTTTTGTATCTACTGGAAGTCTGTTAGGTTCTCTATAATCTTCCCTTTTCTCAACTTCTTTCAACCCTTCTTTGCTAAATTTACTCTGTAAATCTCTTGTTCTTGTTGTCGTCTCTCGTAGACGCTCTTAAATTTGTTTGCACATTAAAAGCCGTGCCTTAGCAGAGGCAAAGGAGCTTTCCTCGAGCAGCTCATGGCTTATGCGATCCCTGAGGACTGCTTTTGTTGACCAGTTCACAAAGGGATAGAAACTGAGAACCTCAGAGAGGATTTTTCCATCTTTCCCATATAAGGAAAAAAATATTAAGTGGGAGAGATGCTCTTTTTGGAAGAAAGAAATAAGGAAGAAAGAGAAGAGCATATGAAGATAACCATCTAAAGCAGATTTTGAATCAAGCCAGTGAGAATAATCAGGCCTCCCATTTTTAACTGTGTTAGTTGCAAATTTGCACATTTTCTAAGAAATAGTTGCAGATATACTGTGAATGACCTATTTTTGCAATTAATAACACCTGGATTTTTAGAGAAGGGTACCGTATATATTCTACAGAATATATATAGAATATTACTGCATATCATCATTGCTCATGGTAGTAAACCACACAGGCATAGGCACGATACAAGCATATTTGATTCCCTGTCTTGAATCTTAATCCCCTTTCCTGCATCTTTCTCCACGTCTTTAAGGTGGACTGAAGGAGCAACTTTGGATGGAGCTTGCTAATTCATGTGTTTCTCACCATAGCGGCTGAATGGTGGAGGGGGTGTGTGTATTTGTGCGGTTTTACTGAACTTACAGGTTCGCTACATGTAGAATATTCACCAGTGTAATGTGGAACTGCTTGTTTTTGCAGCCAAACGTGCCATGTACAGATAACGTAGCCTTTGACATGGAAAGGCTCACCAGAGGCCAGCCAGCTAGCAGGCGATCAGCACTGGGCGATTTTGCCAACGACAGCTCTCTCAGCCTGGAGCCCCTGCGCACCTCCGGGATGTCACAGCTTCCCCAGGACGGAGAGCTAACGCCGAGGTCAGGAGAGATCAACATCGCTGTGACAAGTAAGTTTTCTTTGGCTTCCAGTACCATTCTGTGGTTTTCCTGGTGTGTGGCACGGGCTGTGCTGTAGCTCTGCAGGGCCGTGGTGAGAGATTTCCCTGCGGAGACAAAGGTGACCTGAGTGTCTCTAACAGGCGTATGCTCCGTGTTGAAAATGATAACTCTGGGTATGACAGTGCCAACACTTCGTTATTAATGGTATATCCATTTAGATCTGCATGCAAAGAACTCTGGATGAACTAAAATGGCAACAAAATAACCCTCCTCAATTTGGTAACCGGTACGAGAAGCTGGATTGCCAAAACCATTATTTACCCTTTCAGAATACTTTACATGCAATAATTTATACGAATATAAATATTTTAGCTGATTACTATTTCTGCAGACCTTCCCCCCCCC